TTTTTCTGGTGCAAACAGGCTGCAAAATAATGATATTATTTTGTTCTTGTATCTGCCCGTGTTTTGTGATGCCTTGGTATATTATTTTACTAACGGAAAAGCGTGTGTTTGTTCCAAAACAGTTTTTAATGATAGTGTTTTACTTATGACAGCACTTCAAATTAAGAAAAAAAGGCATTATCTTTCCTAATGATGTTTGAACGATGTTTCTGACTGTATTTAATATTAGAGGTTGTAATTGTTTCTCACAGTAACTGCAAAGCAGACATCTGGGGTAACTGCAGAATTAACAGAATTAAAACTTAAGCAACAGCAAGAAAAATTAAACCTAGAGAGAATAAATTTTTCTTTCCACTCTACCTTAGTTTTACACGTTTTACTCTGAGACCAGAGGGCTTCAGTGAAGTGAGCTTTAACAAAAAAATGCAGAACTTGAGACTCCAGTTAGAAGGCGGAAAGTGGAAAGAAGAGTATTCACAGGTGAGCTGACAGGGAGTGAAAAGTTCCGAATGTGCAGCAGAAGAGTTGCTGTCTGGTGTGAACTGTGACCACGATCTCTGTTCTAGAGGTGTGGGAACGTCCCCCTCTTGTTCGGCTTCCCGGGTCTCCTCAGGCTGTGCTCTGCCATGCTGACTGAGGGGCTCGTCGCCCCTCCTGAGGCAGCAAGCCCCGTCCCCTCAATTCGATCTAGGTATGTGTGTGCAAAATTGCAGAGCGTGCCTGATGGCTTCAGGCCGCACGCGAAACCTGGAATGCTCAGGCTTGCTCTGTGTTGCCTTCACCAAGAGTAGTCTCTCTTCGAAATGTTCTCCCACTCTATAAACCCAAATCTTGGTATTTGTTGTTATGAATGAATTCTTCCTGGAGGAGAGAAGATGCAAACCAGGAGTAAAGCAGCTGGGCTCAAAGAAAGCACGAAAGCGATCCTGTTGCTTGCTGCAAGCACGAGCCTGAGCCGAGACCTCTCTGATTCCAGTAAGGGAAGGGCAACACAGATCGTGAGGGGACTGGAGCATCTCTGCTATGAGGAAAGGCTGAGGGAGCTGGGATTGTTCAGCCTGAAGAAGAGAGGGCTGAGAGGGGACCTTATAAATGCTTATAAATATCTTAAGGGTGGGTGTCAGGAGGATGGGGCCAAACTCTTTTCAGTGGTGCCCAGCAACAGGACAAGGGGCAATGGGCACAAACTGAAGCAGAGGAAGTTCCGTCTGAACATGAGGAAGAACTTCTTCCCTCTGAGGGTGACGGAGCACTGGAACAGGCTGCCCAGGGAGGTTGTGGAGTCTCCTTCTCTGGAGATATTCAAGACCTGCCTGGACAAGGTCCTGTGCAGCTTGCTGTAGGTGACCCTGCTTCGGCAGGAGGTTTGGACTAGATGACCCACAGAGCAAGCCCTACCATTCTGTGATTCTGTGATTCCAGTAATCAAAATGATGTAATGCCTGATGCGATGGGACGCGGACATCCTAAAAAGCGCCACTGAACTTTTAGCAGCCGTCCGTGTTTGCCCAAACCGGTGCCATGCAACAACTGGAGCGGCCCAGCTGAACCATCCTCTGGCCCGACGTGGCGAGGTCGGG